ACACTGGAGGGTTTTGTTTAGGGAAATGACAGTCAGGCAAAAAAGAACACCTGTGATTATGTGGCAAGGGGTAGTAGAGTAGGAATGACAGCGGCAAGATGGACAAGAGGACGGCCCCTGCCCTAGGGGCTGGAAAGAAGGATGAAGAGTTTAAGAGCTCCTTATGAAGACAGACCCGATGGGGCTCAGTGACTGACAGGATGTGGGGATGGAGAAAGAGTCAGAATGGCCCTCAGACTTCTGGCTGAGGTAACAGGGTGGCTGGTGGTGTCATTAACTGAGCTAGAGGTCACAGTGGGGAAAGGCAGGAAACAGAAGTTCAGCTCTGAACAAGCTGGGCCGGAGTTGCGTGCCAGACCTTCACGTGTTCAAGTTCAGGGTTCAGCTGGGTGTGTGGATCTGGAGCTCAAGAGAGAAGGCTGGGGGCTTCCCTGGTGGCGCAGTGGTTGAGAGTCCGCCTGCCGATTCAGGGGACACGGGTTCGTGCCCCGGTCCGGGAGGTTCCCACATGCCGCGGAGCGGCTGAGCCCGTGAGCCATGGCCGCTGAGCCTGCGCGTCCGGAGCCTGTGCTCTGCAACGGGAGAGGCCACAACAGTGAGAGGCCCACGTACCGCAAAGAAAAAAAAAAGAGAGAGAGAGAAGGCTGGGTTGGAGACAAAGACCTGGCTGTGAACAGCCCGTGGAAAGAAACTGAAACCAGGGACATGAAATGGTCCAGGGAGGGGGTGCAGAGGAGGTGGCCTAGGACAGAACTCCAACTTCTCAGAGATGGACAAAGGGAGACTCTAACCGGAGAGTCAAGAGAGCATCTGCAGGAGGGCATGGTCCACCAGACTGGATGTCAGAGAGAAGCCAAGTAGCATAAGCCCCTGCGAGTGAGAATTAACTTAGCAACAGGGAGGTCGTAGGTGACCCTGGGCAAGACCAGTTTGGTGGAGATGGACATGCTAAAATATCAGTGGGAAGAGAGCCTGCGAGAAGGGACGGGTTGAGGATGCAGAGGAGAAAGATGGGGAGGGGGATCCAGAGCACAGTGGGTCACACAGGAGAGCAGCTTCGTTCGGGAGAAGGGGCCTCATCCATTCACCAAAAGGACAGAGAAGGCTGGTGCTGCATGGGGACATCAGGGACGTGTGATGGCAGGGAGCTGAGGGTGTTCTCGTGTCTGAGCTTCCGTCTGCTCTGAAGGGGGTGGGGGAGGGCCTTGGAGGGCAGGAGGTGGCAGTAGGGAGTGGGATGTCCTAACGTACCTCCAGGTAATGAGGCACACAGAGCGAGGCAGCCACCAGAACGGTGACAAGTGGCAAGGGGGTGAAAGTCCTTGGAGACAGAGAATGGTGCATCAGATGTGTATCTGGGAGGGCGCAGAAGGCACCCTAGGGTAAAGAACTCTCACCAAAGTCCTGAATGAATGAGGGGGTGGGGATGATGTAGCTCGGTGTCGAGAACGAAGAGCTAATCTAAGGAGGCGGGTTTTTACATGACGGAAGCACAGACAGAGTGAGGAGTAAAGATATGGGAAGACGACACACATCTCCACGTCCACCCTGAATTAAGGACCTCCTGGGTCAACAGTGGGCTCCCCCACTGGACAGCTCTTCTGCTGGGAAGACCCTCTTGGTGCCGAGCTACAGTTCACCAACTGGTAACTTTCACTAACAGGTGAGAGTCTAGATTTCTGAAGCCGCACAAATCAAACCTGTACCTTTTCACATGTGAAAAACACCTGAAATCTGACAGAGGCCATGGGCTCAACCCAGTTGGCCATGGGACTTTGGACAAGGACTTTGGACTTTGGACACTCGCCTGCCGCTGTCCTCCGCATCTGCTCTGTGAAATGAGGAGCCTGGAGGACATGGTCCCAGCCAGCTGAAGATTCATGAGTCCATTGAGTGTGGAGAGGCCAAAAGAAAACCAACAGGAAAAGCTTTCTAAACTTGAAAAAGAATCCAACAACCCAACATTTGGGCATGTACTCAAAAGAACCGAAAGGAGGGACTCGAACAGATATCTATCCACCCATGATCACAGCAGCATTACTCACAAAAGCCAGGAGGTGGAAGCAACTCAAGTAGCCACTGATGGATGAATGGCTAAACAAAATGTGGCGTATACATACAATGGAATATTATTCGGCCTTTAAAAGGAAGAGGATTCCGACGCATGCTACAACACGGGGGTAAACTTGAAAACATTATGCTAAGTGAAATAAGCCAGACACAACCGAACAAATATTATTTGATTCCACTTCTATGAGGTACCTAGAGTAGGCAGACTCAAAGAGACAGAGAGCAGAGTGGTGGTTGCCAGGGTTGGGGAAGGGGAGACAGGGAGTTAGTGTTTAATGAGTTCGGAGTGTCAGTCTGGGAAGACGAAAAGGTTCAGATGGGTGGTGACGATGGCTGCAAAACAACGTGAATGTACTTAATGCCACTGAACTGCACACGTAAAAATGGCTAACACGATGAATCTTACGATGTGTATACTTTCTCACATACACACACCACTTGAAAAGGCATCAATGTGAAAATAAGGCAGCTGTGATTACAGAATCTGGCCTGGCTAAGAAAGTCACACTTATCCAGGTAAGATCCTCCTACCTTATCTGGATCTCCTGTGGGTCTGTTTCTACTTCTGGGTTTTCTCTCGTGCTCTGGTTGTTTTTGATTGAGTGCTGAACATCACAGGTGAAAAACCGGAGCGAGAATCTGAGGCTCTGGAGAAGTTACTTCCTCCAGGGAGGACTGGCTTGTTTCTGCTTCTGGCTGGCAGGTGGACTAGAGACACTGACAATCCCAAATCTTCTTCATTCAATCGACACTGAAATGCTCTGAACCAAGACTCTAGACTCTATGAGGGCTGGCTGAACTCTGGATCACCCCTCACTCCTCAGCGATGGCCTTTCAAGCCTACGGTGTTGACCAGGGTCCTTCCAACTTGGGCTATTCAATCTTTGTCTCCAGCCCTGTGAATCTGGCAAGAACTCTGCTCAGATCCTCAGCCAAACTTCCACGAAAACAAGCTAGACTACCATCACCAGAAAGAGAGCTCCTTCGTCTTTCACTAACATCGAAAACTTAAGCTTGACTACCCACGCTGCTCTACAAGACTTCCCCTCCTATCCTGCAGGGGCAGTGGGAGCCCAGAGAACTGATTCTCATCTTACAGCCAGCAACTAGTCCTGTGACTCCTGGGCGTGACCTCTCAAGGTGTCCTTATCCTCACGTGTAAAATGCATTTGGATCACAATCTTTGAATTTCTTCCTGCTCTAAAGGTTTTGCAGTCTCTAAACATCCCTGCCAACTCTTACATTGGACAATCCCATAATATACATTCTTCTTCTGTGGATCCATCAATCTCCAGCCCGGCCACTGATTACAACTTTCCATTCTCAGAAGACCATTAAAACAGACAGATTTAAATTACAACAGCATGCATTTAGATTTGCAAACAAAGATGTTCAGTTTCTAGAACTGTGCCCATTCATACGGAAGATCCTTATTACTCGCTGCCTGGGCTACTACGTCATGCAAAGTTGATGAGGACCCAACTGATGCTAAGGCCGAAAGCCAAAGAGAAAAGCCCAACCCCAAAGAAGAAAGGAGTCAGTGTAGGGCATCATTGTGCCAAATGGCACGCAATACATAAACATGAGGGAAACAAGCCTGAGTCACAGCAAGGGACTTAAACTGTTCTTTTTAAAAAAGAAGTATGCTGACTGTTCAGCAACAGGTCGAGGCAGGAGAGAGTCAAACAAACATCAGTCTTTGGCTTTTTAGAAGCTAACATACCGGGACTTCCTGGGTGGCGCAGTGGTTAAGAATCCACCTGCCTATGCAGGGGACACGGGTTTGAGCCCTGGTCTGGGAAGATCCCAAATGTCGCGGAGCAACTAAGCCCATGCGCCACAACTACTGAGCCCATGTGCCACATCTACTGAAGCCCACATGCCTAGAGCCCATGCTCTGCAACAAGAGAAGCCACCGCAATGAGAAGCCCACACGCCGCAGCAAAGAATAGCCCCCGCTCGCCACAACTAGAGAAAGCCTGCACGCAGCAACGAAGACCCAACGCAGCCAAAAATAAATAAATAAAATAAAAAATAATAAAAAAAAAAAAGCTAACACACCATGCTTTCCTTGGTGGATGCTGAAGATGCACAAACATTCTATTCATTTGCATGATGAACAAAAGAACCAGTGGCTGAAAGTAATGACAGGCTGAAACAAAGTCCTACTTTCACAAGTATGGAGAAGACCCAGCGGAGCTGCTTCATTGCTCAGAGAACGTCCTGCTGCACAAACCTGCCAACTCTGGCCCAAGTTCCACACTGCCCAGCCTTTGTGAGCCCTGCCTCCACACTCCCCCGACCACGGAGCTGCTGACCTGCTCCTGTTCTCTGCAGGACATTGGTGTCTCCCAGGTAGCATCTCCCCTTCCTTGCAGCATGTGGACCCATCAGAAAGCAAAGGCACGTATTCCAAAAGCTGTGCTGCAATCAATACCCCCAGATGGAATCATCCCTGGGCTTCTCGATGCTGCAGTAACACATGTGCTGGAAGCTACTGACCTCTACGTTGGTCCTTACTTTTTCCAAGAGACCCTGTGTGTGGTGGAATAGGAGCTGGCCGAAGCTCTGAGTCCCAACTCTGCTGTTCTCTAACAAAGCTCACTGAGGCATAAAAAATGTACTGAGAGCCTCATATGGTTGACACCGCTGGGCATCAAGGGTAGAAAGGCCACCGAGACACATGAGGTGCCGGCCACTATGGAGCTAAAATCAAGGAGCGCCTCAGTTTCCCATCTGCTCAAGGAAGGTGCTGGACCAAGTAATCTCTGAGGTTCCTTCTGATTTTAATGTGCTACAGTTTTACGATCTGAGTTACAGCCCTGGTTGGCCACATGCATCCATGTGGCTTTGGACTGGTGCAGCCTCTCTGGGCCTCAGTTCCCGCGTCTATAAAGCAAACAGGTGAGATTTGCAATGTCCCCAGTTACCTTATGCAGACACAATGGAAGGTTTCCAGAGTCACCCTGCAAGGAGTCCTTCTGCTGGACGGCTGCCCAGCAATAAGAGTCCACGAAGGAGGCCTGACGCCACGAGAAAGAACTAGGGGAGAAGCAGCTTATTTGGGTACCTAAGAAGCAAAAACAGATTGTTCCAAGTAAATGAAAGTGCAGGTGTCTGGACCCCTCCTGCCCCACCCATAATCCCTCCCTCCCTGCCTCAGACTTTCAGGTGTTTGCTAAGTCACCAAACACCACTACACGAGCGAGGCCAGCACCAAAACCAAACCCCCAAGTCTGCAGTAAAGCTGAATATTTGCGAGCTTTCTGGTCAACACTGGTCATGACAGCAGCTTGGGCTCAGGTGGGGAAAAACCCTTGAAAGAAGTGAAACCATCATAAAGGAAAAGTGCAAAGGAAACACGCTGAGTTGGTTTAATTTGGGGTGAGGATTGAGAGAAAGGAGAGCGTTATAGGGCGGGGAGTAGGAAGCGAGGAGGAGAGTCAATGCAGAAAATTGAACCAGAAAAGGAGTCCTTTTTAGAGCAAAGAAACAAAGGACATTCAGCCTGAGGACGAGAAGCCTGATGGAACATTTGGTAATACACCACTGGACGGCAAATCGACCGTTTTCCAACTCCTCTAAGAAGAAAGAAGGCACAGGCCCAAACTGCAGTCCAAGTGGTTTCCACTCAGAAGGCAGATGCTCCAAACTGCAAGCCTGCAGGCAGGGAGATGGGCGTGGGATGGGAAACCAGGAGCGCTGGGTCCCACTCGAGGCTCTGCCGTTAACTTGCTCTTCTGGGAAGGAGCTCTGGACCTCGGTTTTCTCCTCTGCAAACTGAGAACTACATCGCTCCGCAAAGGCTACCGTTACTACCTGGAAGATTCTTCATGCCCCTGAGTGCCTCCCGACTCACATGGGTCACCGTGGAAAACAGGCCAATAGGACTTTCAGGGTGCAGGGCTGAAGCCGTGTCTCCCCTCCTTGCCAGCAGGCAGAGGGCCTGGTAGTGAGCCTGTCCTGATAGCCCTGAGCCCAGCCCCACTCCCCTGCCCCATCAAGCAGGTACAGGAACATGTGTCCCTTCCAGGCACAGGGACCAGCTGCTGGGGGACAGCTGACACACTCTCTTCCACAGCCTGCACAGCGGGAGAGTGCCAAGTGCCTGGGCACTGATGTTAGCTGCATCTGAACCTAACTCTGACCCTCACAGCCGGCTGACCTCAGGTCACTTACTTACAAAGCCAGGGATCTCCAAATGGGGATGACGTTAATGTCTAGATTCTGAGTAGTGTTACCTGGTTCCCGGCAGTTGTACACGGCACATCCTTCTGTACCAAGTGGCTAGCAGATTCTGTTACAGCTTCAAAGATGGAGGAGGGGGTGCCCACCATTCTCCCTCCCACCCTGCAGAGAGGACAGGACAGTAGGAAGACACTGAGCTGGACTTCCCTGGTCCCTTTATGAGGGACATAAAAAGCCTCAAAGGGTCGCCCTCCTCTGGTGAGGGGTCGGCCTTTATACTTGTGACAGGAGAGGGTGGTGATGGGTATGTTGTCTGGAGAGTAGATTCTTGTGGTGAAGGGGGTGCAACAGGCCAGGCTCTGAGTACTCCCTCTTTTCATCAGGTGCCTTTATGCCCACAGACGTCAAGAAGGGACTCCTCAGAGCCCTTGGAGATGACTGTGAAAAGTCACACACTTTCTGAAAGCATCCTCTAATAGGGTAACTTCTTGCCAACCAGGAATGGTTTAAATATGAGTTGGGGGTGGGAAAGACATTTAAGGTCCCTTCCAACTCTTATCCCATTAAACTTGAGTTCTTACGTTTTATAAAAAATAGAGCAATCAGGATAGCACAGGACCCCGGGGCTAGCCTCACTCTGCTCTTGCATCAGTATTCCTCTGTTAAATGCTTCTAATGAGGTCCGGACACCAAGGCTTACTGGGCATAAAACAGCAGATACTGTAAGAAGGACAGACAGGCCCCAGGTTATAGATGGATGGTTTCTGGCAAGATGCATGCTTAGCAGCATCTGTCCAAACACATTCTCCTGAAAAGGGACAATGCTGTTAGGATTTCATGGAAACCCGTCTGGCCTGTAGTCCTCGTGCATGTAGCCAGCATCTAGTAACCTTCTTTCCATAGGAAAAGTGCTTCAAGTTGTCCTGGGACGTCAGGGGCCTCCCCCAGGGCAGTGATGGAAACTGCTGGAGCATAAATAACTCAACTTTTTCACACCAAAGCTTTTGCAAACGAAGAAGAAAGGAAATTTAACAGAGTCTACAGACAGAGGTTGAGCACACGTTGAGCTCCTAAGTAAATATTCTTCATCTGGAATGGAAGATGAGAAGAAAAGACAACCAATATTCACAGGACACCACGCCACCTTTAAATCATTACATTACCTCGTTTAAACCTCACAACCAAATCGAGGGAGGGGAATAGACAGATAGATAGGTCTTATCTTCATTTTACCCTGGAGGAAACCGAAGCTCACAGTAATTCAGCAATCCCTCAGCCGAGGAAGTCAGTGGTAGCATCAGGATTTGAATGTGTATCTAACTCTCAGTCTCTTAAAATGCTCCTCTCTGGACCAGTCACTCCAACAAGGCCGAGCTGGAGGAGGTCCCGGGAGCCTGGTGGAGCAGGGTGGTTTGAACACACGGTTACTCCAACTAACCAGCACGGGCAGAGCTTCCTAGCAAGGGTCAAGGTCAAATCTGAGAAAAGGAGCAGATCAAGCCCCGGGTATTGGATATTCCCAGGCCAGAAACAGGAAACAAAGGAAGTCAAGAACCAGGCAGGGGCAGGAGTAAAGGGAGGGACCTGCAGGAGGTCCAAGCGGGAGGGTGCAGGGACCTGCCCGAGCTGGGCTGTGCAGACCTACACCTTCCCCCAGGGCCTGACAGCCTAGCCTGGCCTAAAAGCACATGTCAGGAGGCTCAGCTGCAGCCATGCGGCTAGGATGTTCGGGACCTGGACCATCGTGATTCATCTCCAAATGTTAACTCCACATCCTTTATCTCATTTACTCTTCAAAATGATATTGGGGGGTGATGATTTTGTAACGGATAAAAATGTCGAAATTACTATGTTGCGCACCAGGGACTAGCACGGTGTTGTAGGTCAATTGTACTTCACAAACAAACAAGCTCATAGAAAAAGAGATCAGATTTGTGGTTACCAGAGGTGGAAGATGGGGGGGGGGGCGGGGGAACTGGATGAAGGCTGTCAAATGTACAAACTTCCGGCTATAAGGTAAATAACTGTTAGGGACGTAACGTGCCACATGACACATATAATGACCACTGCTGTACGTTCTATATGAAAGTGGTGAAGAGAGCAAATCCTAAGAGTTCTCATCACAAAGAAAAATTGTTTTTCCTTTTATTTTGTATCTGTATGAGACAATGGGTGTTCACTAAACGTACTGTGGTGATCATTTCAGGATGCATGTAAGTCAAATCATTACCCTGTGCACCTTAAACTTATACAGTGCTCTCTGTTAATGATACCTCAGTAAAACTGGAAGAAAAAACCAATAATTTTGGGAGGTAAACAGGTGTTTTATATATTTTCCTAGCAGTCTTCCAGTAAGGAGAGCTTCTGGTCTCTTTCATCCACCTTTTTAAACTGTTGCCAGATCATTCACCCTCAAGCTCAGTTCTGATCTTGACACTCCCTTGGCTCAACATTCTTTCATTGGTTCCCCGTTACCCAGAAGACAAATCCAAACCGATGCTCCAGTCCAACCCAATTATTGCTGTGGCTTGCACAGGCCCCATCTGCTCCTAAATCTGTGCCTTTCCTCACATCAATCCCTCTGCCCGGGGGGCCCTCTCTCCAATACTTGTTAAAGTCAATGCCCCTCCATGTCCACCTCCATGGCCCATCCTTCAAAGCCCAGCTCAGATATCACCCTCTGCATGAAACTGTCCCCACTCAACTCCCAGAGCCCTTTAAAGCCATCACAGACAGAGAATCACCTTCAACCATGTTGTACAGACATGCACGTCTTATCTCCTCTAGTAATATCTCAACGCTTGACTAGCAGAGTGAACATACACACACACACACACACTCTCTCTCTCTCTCTCTCTCTCCCCCTCGCTCTCTCTCTATTTCCCTCCCTCCCTCCCTCTCAACTTCATAGAGCACCCTGTATCAAATAAATAACACCTGTCTGAGTGCTTTAAACGTTCCCAAGTACTATGATAAATAGTATCTCAACTAACAGTCAAGTCTCCCTGTCAGATACCACTATCCCAGCTGAGGAAACAGAGTCCCTAATCCACAGTGATCCTCCAGCCTGGGTCCCATGCCCTTTCCACTCCGCTCTGCCACATGTTGGCTGAATGAGGGCACTCTGATTTCTAGGGAGTAGCTTTAAGTGAGATCTGCATCGCCTTTCACAACTGTACAGAAACCAAGAAATAAGTTTTGGCTTTACACCAAGAACAATACCACTGCTTCTGTCCAGCTGAGAGTGCAGACAGAGCTGTGGGCTTTCCATACGTGTCTGGCCGGATAGAACGAAAGATCATGGGCAGGAAACGTGCTCCGGGGGCTCCGTGGCAGCAGCTGCAACATCTGCTAACAAGTGACCCACGTCACGGACGTCCCTCCACCCACTCTCCGGGCCCCGGTCTGGAGCCTAGGGCGCGGGTCACCCCTTCTCCTAAGTGTCAGCCCAGCTAAAACCTGTTCCTGTACCACAGACGCAGCTGGTGGAGAACCAGAGGGTAACACAGCCTGAGGGGAGACAGGACGGGAGCCAGGGAGGTGGGCCAGCCCAGCAGCTTCTCCGTGGCACCAACACTAGCTAGTGCAAGGCTCTCTGTTCCTGGTCCAACCCATCCAGAGGGGCTTTGGCCTCGTTTTGCTGTCCCTCTTTTTTTGATAAGCTTTCTTTTCATTCTTCTCATTATTATCACCCAGTTGGTTAGGAGGGCCCACATCTGAAGGGCTGTGAGTTCTGAGCCAGCCCCTAGCATCTTCTGACAAACATATGCATCCTCCCTCCCCGGGTGTTGTGTGGGAATAAGTTATCTGCGTTGCTTCTGCATTTAAATGCTACATGCAACTGTCAGGGTAGTGCAGGAATCAGGCTTCCTGAGAAGTTAA